ACTCTTTCCTGTGGACCTTTTGGAACAGAGCAGGGGTTTTCAGGAGCTTCCTTGGAAGCATGTAGGAACTCACCTGTGCACCTGATCATACGCTGGGCAAGGGCAGCTGAATATAACCCTTACTTGCTACTGTGAATGAATCTGTGGCCTGCCCAGCTAAGAGTGATGGGCAGGATTACTATCATGGAGAAATGAAAATAATACTCTCATAAAGCTGCCTGAGGAAATTTAAGTTGTTTTCATCTCTTCTGCCCCTTAGGCAGGAAGAGTGGAGCTTCATACGATCCTATGCACCGAAGTCCTTTATACTGTGGTGCTGAAGGTACAAGCCTTTGGGAACTGAAGAAGGTAAGGCATTCTTATGTTGCTGATTCCTGTGTTTCTTAGTGTGGCCCTTGTATTGAGAGAAGAAAATGAACTTGGTTATTCTTGGAGTAGCCACCTGGGTAATGTCACAGAAAGGTTAAAGCTGACACATTGTTCAGCTTTAAGCTTGTATATGTTACATACAATGCTGATATTCTGGAGTAGGAAATAGGAATAGGAGACTTTGAAAATAATAATCTTGTTTGACTTTTGGATCTTAGCTTTGTATTACTAAAGCTTTTTAGTGTTGAATTAAATAAAATTTTAAGTGAGAATGTATTTAGTTAACGCAAACAAAAGATTAGAACTTGAAGTTTTTCAGTCGTTCAAGGGCAGAGCACATCAGCCTTGCACTAGCATACGTGTGCGTGTTATTTGATGAGGTATGGAGTGCTCTTATGACACAGTGGTGTTGTCAGGAGTCTGATACGTCAACATGAGTAATGATTGCGTTTATTTTTACTGTAGAAATAATAAGTGATTCATGTTTTTCAGCTTTCTGAACATTTTCATCCATCTGTGGCCCTATTCGCAAAGACAATTCTAGAAGTAAGTGCTTTTACTAGTCTGTAGCATTGAAGTTTGATTTTTATGTTATCTGTCTTTTGTCATTTGAAACAATTCATTATAAAGCCTCCTTGCACTCTGCAGGTAACTAGCAGCTCTGCAGCACTGTAACATACACTCAAATGCAAAGCTTTTCAGGGAATTAAAGTGTTTGATGTAAAGGAGACTGCTCACAGAAGTAACTAACTTGGTAGAAATGTGGGTATTACATGATTCTTAAAGCTTTTTCTAGAGTTTTGGTCTTTCTTTGTATTTAACATGTTTTTTTTATGTGGGTAACCCTGCTGTTGGAACAAATTCTTTTTTAATACTGTTGTGGTATCGTGCCAAAAATACTCAAACCTACACAAATAGGTATTTAAAATGTTTATTTTCAGTTGAATATATGGTATCCAAATAGTGCTGTGTATTAACTGTTACTAGCACAGTACATTGCAAGGCAGTTCATCACTGAAACAAAGTGAAGGAGGTGTTTTTTAGTTAAGAAAATATTGAAATTCCAAAAATAAGGACCTGTACAGGACTGTATTAACTGGTCAGGCTTATGTGATGAAGTATCCCAAAGCCTTTGGCTTTTCGAGGTGTGATTTAATGTTGTTCTGGGACTGTTTGAGTCCTCTGTGTTTAGTTGTTGTCTTTCTAAAATGAAGACCTTAATAACTTTTTGCTTTTTTCTTCTTTCAGGGAAATAACATTCAGTATTCTGGTGACCCTTTGCAGGATTTCACATTAATGAGATTCTTGGACCGCTTTGTGTACAGAAATCCCAAACTCCCTAAAGGCAAAGGTACAAACTTCTCTGTACATATTAGCATCTATGATCTTGATTATTGATTGTGACCAAACTCTTTTTCTCTGAGATTGCCAAGTAACTCTTTGTGTTTGTCAAATATTTGGGGTGCATGTGGTGCAACAGAGGAGTAGGATCAGTCTTCAGGGTTGCAAGAGGGATGCCTGCAACTGAGAACCAGCTGACAATCACATACTGCTGACTCTCACATCCACAGTGCAGGATGCGATTGTTTGCTAACTTAGGAGGAATAGGCAAAGTGATAGGGGAATGTAAAGACTACAGAATGGTTGAGGTTGGAAGGGACCTCTGGAGGTCATCTGCTTGAGCAGGGCCACCTAGAGCAGGCTGCCCAGGCTGTCCAGATGGCTTTTAAATGTCTCCAAGAATGGAGACTCCACTGCCTCTCTGGGCAACCTGTGCCAGTGCACAGTCGCCTTCACAGTGAAAAAGTGTTTCCTGATGTTCGGATGGAGCCTTCTGTCTTTCAGTTTGTGCCCATCGCCTCTTTTACCACTGGAAGGTACCTGGCTCCATCTTCTTTACCCCCTCCCTTCAGGTATTTATATGCATTGATGAGATCCCCCTCCAAGCCTTCTTTTCTCCAGGCTGAACAATCTCAGCTCTCTCAACCGTTAGTCACAGGAGAGATGCTCCACTCCTCTCTAACTGTGTCTGTAGCCCTTCGCTGCACTCTCTCCAGCAGTTCCATATCTCTTGTGAGACTGGGGAGCCCAGACCTGGACACAGCACTTCAGGTGTGGCCTCACCAGTGCTGATTAGAGGAAGGATCACCTCCCTCTGCCTGCTGGCAACACTCCTCCTCATGCAGCCCAGGATACCGTCAGCCGCCTTTGCCGCCAGGGCACGTTGCTGGCTCACGGTCAGCTTGATGTCCACCAGGGTCTTTTTGGCCAAGCTGCTTTCCGGCTGGGCAGCCCCCAACATACACGAGTGCATGGGGTTGTTCTTCCCCAGGTGCAGGACTTTGCACTTCCCATTGTTGAACTGCATGAGGTGCCTGTCAGCCCATTTCTCCAGCCCCTTGAGGTCCTTACGGATGGCAGCAAAACCCTCTGGTGTATCAGCCACTGCTCACAGTTTTTTATCAATAGTATTAAGTAATTTGTTTCTGATTTATGTTCTGCTACAGAAAACACCAGCAGTGTGGTGATGCAGCCGAAGAAGAAGCAGTTTATGAAAGATATGCAGAATCTTGCAGGTAAGGCAGTCCCTTTTTGGTTAAGATTATGATGGCTAAAAAATTCTTGGCTGGTTGTTGTAGACGTGTCATCTGTGGTGTCTATGCTATTTCTGTTAGCAATAAGAGAAAGTCCTGTCCATCAGGAGTGCAGTGGTGGTGCCTGATGTTCAAGATCAGGTCTAATCTTCTTGTGAGGGCGCATGGAACCTCCGCAGCTGAAACTTTGGATCCATTGAATCATTTTAAGAACAAATGACAGAGAAAATCAGTTACCTAAACTGTTAGCCTCTTGAGTAGGAAAACACTTTGTCTTCTACTGTGGCACTTGGCTACACACCCATTTTTTAAGACCTTTCTTTTCTCTCTGTTTTTCCCCCCTAATTGTCAATGACTTTCTCTTATACTAATTCCTTTTTCTTAGGCAATGCATGATGAAGATCATGCCTTCTGTTTAGCCATCCCATTAAGAAACGTGTAACAGCAAAGGACAGAGCTATTAAAAACTGCATGCCTTGTTTTCTGTGCTATTTTTGCTGTGACCTGCATATGCTTCCTGTACCTTCTCTTATGCTAAGTTACCTTTTTCCTGCATCCCCCTAAAAGGAAATACACCCCCTGGGTAAAGAGTAGATTTGCAATCTTGTATGAAAAGTTTAGGACATTGTTATAAATTGGCTTGTAGCTGGCAATGTGACCCCTTGGGGGAAAAAATGGCTGAAAAAAAGCCTTAGAATTTATTCCAGCTGATGATATTTCTAGTTAGAAGAGCAATCTGTTAGGGTGCTAAGCTCAGAGTGAAATGAATTTATAAAATACTAACTAAATTTTCTGCCATTCTTATGTCTGGCATCATAGTTTTGTGAATCATTTTTTTAGAAGTTCTTAAAAATATCTAAAATTGTATAAAAATCTTTAAAATATGTGCTGATCTAGCAGTAGTTAATAGTGTTGTGTAGTTAATGTTTTTATCTGTTTCCAAGTTACTGTATAACCACTTTCATTCTGCTTATTATGATTGAAAAATGACTTAACAAACTCAGAAAATTGATTTATATAATGATTTAAGTCACATTAAGCTCTTTCATTAAATGGTACTGATTACTCTACATAATGCCACAGCTGCAGCTATTGTTAGGATTAGTGTAAGGTATCTTTGGCACTGTTATTTTACTAAGAGTCTTCCTGCCTCCAGAAAGAAGTTGCCATTTGTCTAGTCGCACTGTTTCCAATGATTAAGGGCATGATTTAGTGGTAAGAACCAGCAGTTAAAAAATCAGGGTAAACCATCAGTAAAACATGCTGCTTGAGGACAGAAGAGGTGGTAGAATCTCTGTGACTTTCCCAGGGATGTGCTTTCCTCTAACTTAGGGCCTGTTGTGTTGCACAGAGGTTTTAGTTATACAGATTAGCTGATGCACCTTTACTGATGCATGGTTTTATGGCTATTAAAGCTTAAAGTAGGAATTTTTGCCTAGAATGCATTTGAAGGTATAGTTTGTTTATCGCATTGTTTAGTTTATTCTGAGTTGAAGGAGCAGACTGAGAATTTAGAACTGGTTTTGAGGAATTTAAGTGTTCTACAAATGAAACATCTGATATAAGAATATGGATAGATTAATATGGATACAATACGCACTTGTTGCATGTAGCTGGTCTCTGCTGAGGCTTAGGGAACTGAGACTGCAAATCCTCTGGTACCTTCTACTATGCATTTGAAGAATCCTTCTGTGACTATGCTGATCTGGCTTCAGAAACTTGGACCCTTGTCACTTAGAAAATATTATAATCTGTGCCCACTGAGATAATCAATAGCTCTTTCTCCTTTGATTTACTTCTGAGGTGGAGGAGGGAAGGGTATGTACGAGGGTAAAAAGCTTCTCCACAGGGAATCTGATCAATACCCTAGCCAATCTGCTGTTGCAGTGTCATATTTTGCCTCAGCTCCTCAGAAATGGAGGCAGGGTGAGGCTCGATCCCTTCTTCAGCATGCTCAGCTGGTGTATGGTCCTGCCTTGCAGCTGCTGACAAGCATTTTTACTGTCAGGAGTGAGGAGTGCTGGGCAGAAGTGGTTCCAGTGTTTTAGTGCATGACAGCAAGTTTATATTATTTCCTACTTTTCTTTTTTTAGAATGTATTCCTGAAGTAGGTGATTACAAAACCTGATGATATATAAATTAGAACCTGGTTAGGGCTATGCCTCTCGAGTTTTTCCATAGGGTCTGCTCACATCTAAGTATCAGTACATACACTGAGAACTGTTCGTTTGAAGAGGTTTTGAGATGAGCTCCACTTTATTTAATGGGTGACTGTCGTGGTTTAGCCCCAGCCAGCAACTCAGCACCACGCAGCCGCTCGCTCACTCCCCCTACCCCGATGGGATGGGGGAGAGAATTGGAGGAGTAACAGTGAGAAACACTCCTGCGTTGAGATAAGAACAGTTTACTAATTGGAATAAAGTAAAATAGTAATGATAATAACAACAATATAATGATGATAATAACAATAACAATATACAAAGCAAGTGATGCACAATGCAATTGCTCACCACCTGCCGACCGGTACCCAGACAGTTCCCAAGCAGCAATTGCTGCCCCCCCAGCCAATTCCCCCAGTTTCTATACTGAGCATGACGTCATATGGTATGGAATAGCCCTTTGGTCAGTTTGGGTCGGCTGTCCTGGCTGTGCCCCCTTCCAGTTTCTTGTGCACCTGGCAGAGCATGGGAAGCTGAAAAGTCCTTGACTAGCATAAGCAGTACTTAGCAACAAGTAAAAACATCAGTGTGTTATCAGCATTCTTCTCCTACTAAATCCAAAACGCAGCACTATGCCAGCTAGTAGGAAGAAAAAATTAACTCTATCCCAGCTGAAACCAGGACAGTGACACTGGGTATCTGTGTATTTCTGTCTGTGCATGCAGTTTAACCTTTTAAAAGAATAACAATCATTTCAACTTGAGGTAAAATCAGTTCGGTTTTTTTTTTTTTTTTTTTTTTTCCAGTCAACAGTAAGGAATTCCGTGCCAAAGATGAAAGCAAAATCCCAGTGGATGAAGTGTTTTTTCACAGGTAATGAAATACTTGTGAACATTCATTTTAAAAGTTGTTTTTTAATGCGATGCCATCAAACCCCATTACATTTCGTAAGTATTCTCTGGTATTCCAAGTGTTTGCAAAATTTGATTGAGTGGCTTGTGATGATAGTACTTTCCTTCGAATGTAATTTCAACATTTGTCAAAAGTGCTTAGGAAAGAATATCACTTATGAACAAAGGCGATCAGTGCTTGTAGTCTAAAATTAAGTAAGTTAACATTGTAATAAAGAAGCCTTAAACAATGGGTAGTGATGAATGTCTTGTGGGTTGTAATTCTTATGCATTAGAAGTATATTTTAAAAAAGTGGAATACACTTTGTTTATGTTATTAGATCAAAGCTTATTAGAATGGAACAGTGCAAAAAAAGTCAGAGGAGCTAGTTTTCTGTGTATTTATGTTCTTATTATTCATAGTTCTTTCTGTTTAGTTGGCTTTCCTTTCAGATTATGATATAAAAATGGAGCTGTAACACGTAAAATTGAAGCGATACACATTTGGCAAAGATTTGTTCTTATTAGATCAAAATACTGGTTACCTGTGAGTGTCCCCTTAGGAAATCAGTGTTTGAATTAACTTAATTTATTTTGTTTAATTCACTTTGGGGTTTTTTTTTTGTTTGTTTGTTTAATATATTCATTTCTGTAGGGGCTTTTAAAAATTTTTGAAGTATCAGGTTAATGGAACTTACTAATTTTAATTACTTGATATTATAATATTGAGGAGTGTAATATTAATAAATAAATAAGTAATGATGATGTTAATTTTGAGATTACAGAAAAGCAGCTTAAAAACATGTCCCTGTCTGAAAAGTTAACAGTATTGTTACATTGAAGATGACTGAAACTGAGATTACACATTTAAAGTCTTCCATAGGAAGTGCTGTACTCTTTTGCTCTTGTATATGATCAAAATTGCCTTCTGTGTTAGTGGTTCTTTAATACAAGATGAAGGATAGACAGTGGTTTAAAATGGCTGACAGAAGGTGAAACTAAGCACACAAAAGAAGAGGGCTGTGGGGGAAAATTTAACAGAACTTAATGGATGAATCTGTCTTGTACGTTTTTTTTTTTTTCCCCCAATTAGATTCAAGTTGACCTTGATCTTTTCTTCCTTATCAGTGTAAGGTAGATTTTCACATCTTTCTTGTGCCCTTTTATGAATTCACTATGTTCAAAATAATTTCTGGCACCTTTGGCTGTGAAATTTCTTTGTTTAAATCTTACAGTAGTACTCTTTGAAAACCAAAATATAAATCTCTGATTTGAGATGTGCCTGAAACCCTTACTTACAATTTTCAACTGACAGCATAGACGTTAAACAATCTGCAGGTTGTTTTTTTAAAACTTGTCATAAAGAACATCACCTGTCATTTTGGGTCTGAGCGCAATATATTATTTCAGATTTTATTCAAAGTTCGACAAGAAGAGAGAAAAACAAAAGCGTCAGGATGATGAAGAAAGTGTGGAAGATGTAGATGACGATGAATTTGAAAGAGCATTGGGTAAGGTTGTGTTTTTCCTTGCAGTAACTGTCCCAATATTTCCTGCTTTTGAAAATTATTAATTTATCCTTTTTATAGTTTATATTATATAAAAGAGACAGATACAGAAATATGGAAGTGGAATAAAACTGGCTTTCCAGTTCCCATTCTGTGCTACTACAGCCAGCAGTTCGTACTATCCATCACATAAGCCAACTGGATGGCCATCTTGTTAAAGAGGTCATGCTCTCACTACTCTGGTAGTGTTCAGCTTGTTTGAATGGTTGGAAATGGTCTGATTTTGAACATAAGCTCATGAGTGGCAGTTCATGCCTCTTTGTTCTTTTCCTGATGGAGTCCCAGAGTTAAATAACTTTTTCTAACAGCATGTAACATTTGCTTCTATTCTTTCTTTACTGGTTGGCCTTCTTCAATCTTCCTTACCATTTCTCTCATCACTCCTAACATCTTTCATGAGGTTATTTGTTCAGTTAGGTCCTTGGCAAACTTCTGCAGTAATCTTAGCTCTTCTTTGAGCATGTACTTAGTTTACTTTGAAATTAGTGCATGATTTGTTCCAGAATCTATATTTGGTAGTGTACCATAAAATTGTATGCTTTCATATTTTACTTATATAGTCATATATGTATTTGAAAAAAAAAAAAAAAAATCCAGTTAGGTCTCCATAGCTGTTTTGTACAATATTTTTAGAGAATTCTGAATGCCCATAGCAGGATTCTTTCTTAGTGATGCAATTAGTGTGGTTTTAGTTATGACAAGAATCTGTTACTAATTGTGTTTGTTGTTTTATTGTTACTATCCCTAATAAGTTGACTGTCTCTGAGAATTTGGTTCATAAATTCAGAAGCTTAAATTAAGGACCCTCTAATGTTAGCATTTACTCTTGGAAACAGAACAGTTGTAATTTTTCAGATTTTGTTTTTACCTGCTGTTTTATATAGCAATTTGTTCCTAAGTGAATCTGGTGGTAGGAGCTTTCATTCTCTAGTCTGCTTGCTTTTCTGTCAAAAATTATAGTGAATACCTCTAATCTGAAAATTAACATACAGATTAGCTGGCAGGACACTTTCTTGGGGTATCTTAATTGAATCTTTGTTCTATCTGACTTGGAGCAAGTGTTTGAGACTTGTGACCTGCCAACTAAGTGTGAATCACTGGGCAATTGTGTGTCCCTTTGTGTCTGTCTGCTTCCCAGGTCATCTAGTTCTGGCCAGAAATTACATCCTGGATAAAAGAAAACTTTCAGTATTTTTCAAAGAAAAATATTTTTTCAGAAAAAGCCTGGTTAGCTTTAGGTAACTGTTTTGTGGAGTATTTTTCTACAGGAGTATGAACCCTTTGGTATCAGGGCCCTTTGTTACTGATGCAGATCATATAAACTGTTCAGAAAGATGATACCTAAAAATAATATATTTTGCAATGACTTCATATTTCTTTGTCTGACTTTGTTTTGTAGTAATAAACATTTTTTTTCCCCCTAGACACATTTGAAGCTGCTGATAATGCCATTGATTTTGGCCAGGATGACCTTGATTTTGCTGGGTAAGACTTGAAATTGGTTCTTTCATCTCTTGTTTTAATATCTATGTAAGAGTTTTACTCTGCAAAATTGGATAGACCTTTTTCAAAAAGACTTGGAATATCATCTTGCAAAAAAGGCAATAGCAGTTGAACACTGGGTAATGCTGCTTGTCTGCATGTCCCATAATGGAGCATCGTGATCCTGTGGTGCTTAACAGTCTGCTGGCTTGACACATGAGACCTGTAGTATTTTATTTACACGACACAGTGACCCGGTAAGCAAGGTAAAATCTTACTTGCTTTCATTGTCTCAGGTTTCTGTTTGAGAATTACCAAGTACAAAAGAATGAGGCATAATGGTACTGCTGTTGCAAGGACTGGTTGCAACCTAACGCAGTAAATAAACTTTGTGGAATCCAGAATCACAGAGCTCAACTCTCAGGAAGTCAGCAGTTTCATTAATCGTAGAATCATTTAGGTTGGAAAAGACCTTTAAGATCATAGAGTCCAACCGTGAATGATTAAGTAGTCTCTTTTTTACTTGAAGTACCTGCAATACAGCTTTTGAATCGGCACAGAAACTTTTTTTCTTGAGGTGAAAGGAGAACTAAAGCTTAAACTTCTAGTGAAACATGAACATTTTTGTCATCTAGACTTGTCCGAGTAAAAAATAACAAAGACGAGACAAGAAGCAAGTAACTGTCTAGTACATGACATGTTTCCTATCTTAAGGAAAAAAAAAAAAAAAAAAAAGAAGTCTTATTTCTTAGTTTAGTAGAGTTGCTAGGGATACCGGCAGTTTGTGTGTTTTACAGAAAAGACTTTCTGAAAAGGAGCAAAGGCACGCAGGACATAAAATACTGAAGCTGATATTTCTGTTAATTTCAGAATAGGATTCTCTCCAGAACTTCTTAAAATGGTTGACTTTTATAATACGGTTCTATATGCTGATGTTGAAAACATACCTGAGTGCATAATGCATGTTTCTTAGGTCTCAGCCTACATTTACAGTAGTTTGCAGTGATGTTGAACTTTTCTAACATAGTGTTTGCCAGTAGACAGATGTTATCTGGGTGCAGACAGTATTTTGCCAGATGAACTGCTAAGCTTGTTGCATACTTTTTTTAGCAATATAAAAAGGAAAACCAAAGGTGGTAAGAAAGGCGAAAGAAGTGAGGAAACCAGTGCTGACTGGGAGGATTCTGATGATGAAGATGAATTCAGTGATCTGGATGATGAGGAAGTCTCCTTAGGAAGTATGGAGGAAGACTTTGGAGATGATATGGATGAAGAGGGAGGTGTATTTATGGATGTGTCTGATGACGGTAAGAGCCTAGGTAAAGTACCATTTATTATCAAAAAATGAGAACAAAAAGCTTTAAAAACAGGTTATCTAATACATAATTATGTGTATAAATTCAGATTTAGTTACCTAGGTAGGAGGTTTGGCTTTTAAGTAAAGAAGCGACAAGTCCATCTCTGGACAATGAAGTCTTAAGAGAAACATTTCCTGGCACAGTCTTCTTAGAGAGTGGGAATCAGGCATCCAGGTATAAAAACTTGCAAACAAGACATGTTTCTTTCACTCTGAAAACATTGGCAGTAACAAAAGTAGCTTTATACACAAACAACTGGCTACAGTTGGCAGAAATATTAAAAGATCTCAAAGAGAAAAATAAAAAATCTGGTACTTGGTAATCTTTTTATTTCTTTAGACCTAGTTAATGTTGATTTTTTTGGATGAGGTAACTTTTATTTAAATTACTGTATAAGTACTGCATAAGTAATATAATATTACTGTGTAAGTAACAGCTTACTCTTCTAATAGAGCTATGCACTGAAATTTTTATTACCACTGTAATAATAACTGATCGTTGCATCTGCAATGGTTTTATTAACTTTTCCACTGAAAAGCACAGTTTACACAGTATACACTTTATGTGGCTGGAGAAGCACAGATTAACGGAGTATTTAAACTAATAACTTAAGGTCATAGGAAGATGATTGAGGGCAGGGGAGGTAAACTACTCATACAGCTGTTAATACATTAGTCTTTCATGAGATTATTGTTTCACCAAACTTACCAAGCAGACATTCAAGGTTTACATAACACCTGCTTTTAGCCTTCATATTGTATGTATCTTAGTATCATATTTCATTCCTCTTTGGTGCTGTGGAAAAAAAAGCATAAAGAATGGCACACCACTGACCAATTTTTAACTGTCTGGGTTGAAGCAAACCCAGATTGGTTGTGCGCGCTGTGTTTTAAACTTTTTTTTTAAAGTAAAGACTTGGACCATTATGATCAATATGCCAAAAAGGAAATTTTAGTCTCTGCTGTCCTTTAAATACATGTACATGGTGTGAGAATGAGGGATTAATGTATCGTATCTTTTTTTTCTGTCAGACCCAAACAATGACAAGCCATTGAAGTCTGTCAGTAAAAAGGACAAGAGAAAGCTAGGCATGAATTTTGTTGGATCACTTGAAGGTAAGGAAACGCTGCCGTGATTTCCATTTGAGATACATTTGTATTTGTATTGAGATACATTTGTATTTGAATACAAATATGGAGTCTGGAAAACTTTGGAATCAGAGGGGTTTAGTACAGTAGATTATCTACACTTTCAGATCTGGGTTCAGATTTGAATAAACCATAAAGGAGGTTGTCCTCCAACCAGTGCGGCCTCATGCAGAGTGACAATCTGCTCTCGAAGTACTGGGAATCGAAGGAGGAACTTTTGAAAGAAGGGTGGTGGTGTACTGGCCATTTGTGCATCTGTTACTAACACCTGATGTGCAGATTTGTGCTATTTAGTTCCTGGTGGTTCTTTTTTTTTTTTTTTTTTTAAGGGGAGGTGGAGAATAAAGGTTTCTAACACAGCTATTTTAGATGGTCTCATTAAATAAATTAAAAAAAATTTAAAAATATGGTAACACTTTGGTTTAGTGTCTTTGTGAACTTGAAATTCTGTCTCGTGAGAATAATATTTTTTATTTGAAGGATCCAACCGAGGAAAGAAGAGGAAACTCAAAGATGCCAGTATACTGGCATCTGCAGAAGAGGTGAGTTTGATCAGTGCTTAGCAAAAAGTCATCAAGCATTTTACCTGTTTCTTTGTAATAAAATATTAAAATTTCTCTCTTTAAAGTTTGGTTATCTGCTGGATGAAAATGCTGGGTCTAAGTTTGACAATATCGGAATGAATGCCATGGCCAACAGAGATAACGCAAGTAAGTACATGCTACAAATAGCATATAGTTGTAATGCTGTTTTACTTCTTTCTCTTCAGATTCTGTACTTAAAAAGATATACCTTCTTTAACTGAAATACACACATGGTCAGAAATCACACAGCAGGGACAGTAACTCAACATCAGTAAGGTGTGACTTAGTTTCTTCAGTTACAAGAGATGCCCAGTGCTAATACAAACTGTGACTACCAGAGTGAATAAAGCTTCAGAAAAGAGAAGAGGCTCATGTGGCCCTTTCACACTGTAAATAAGCATGAGCAGTATGCTGTTTGTCAAGTGTTCATGTGAATTTTGCTCTGATAGTGTCCTGGATTCTTGTGAAGGGAAGGCATAAGGCATGACTGTCTTTATCTGCCTTACCAGAGTATTTCCATGCAGTATCGGTGAAGCAAAAGCAGTTTCCCAGAAATAATTCTAATGAATTAAATCTGTATATACTGATTGAATAATCAGTCCGTTGTAGAGCTTTTACAAGTCTTGCTGGTGTCACCTGAGAAATGTTAGCAACTGCACTCAAACACTGTGTACTCCTAACACAAGCATGTCTAGCATTAGTAAAATACAAAGCAATGGCAAGAGCGGTCTTCAAGTCTGAGATTCTGAGATGGTAGGGTATGTTTTGTGAAATGAAAAAACCAAAGCCTTCCCTGGTGTCAAAAAAAAATTGTCAGCTTGGACTTTATTAACATTTATAAATACAGTAGCCAAGTTTTAACTTTGATATGATTGATCTGTATTCCGCATCATGATCAGAGGTATCCATTGGCTCCTTATTTCTCACCTTTCCTCTTACAGATGTCAAACAGATCCAGTGGGAAATAGAGCGTGACAAATGGCTTCACAATAGGGATGTGAAAAGCATCATCAAAAAGAAGAAACAGTTCAGGCACAGAGGGCTGAAAAACAAGTACAAAGGCAAGAAATCAAAAAGATGAGCTGGACATTTTAATGTGGACATTTTTACAATAATTATTCTAAAATAATTTTTTAATTAATCGCACATCTTTCTTACTTCAGTTCTTGCTGCTTAACCATGTCATTTGGTCATTCTCCCTTATGCCGTGAATTCCAGACCACTCATTGGATTTGTAATACACTGAAAAAATAGGAAAATCCATGTCAGCTCTAAGTTAGGCATGTCTGAAGATGAGGTGCTTTGTGGCTGCTTTTGTTGGATGTATAGTCTTCCAGTTCTGAGGACTCTATCCAACAGTCTGACACTCCAGCCACACCTATGCCTAACAATAAACACTTCTGCAGCGTCTCCTGGGGTAAGTTTTAAGCAATAATAAAATCTGTTTTACACATAAGATGCAACAGCAGCTTCAGCCATCCATCCTTCTGAAGCCGATAACTACAAACCTACCTTCCAGAATTGATGGAAACCTCTTCTGCATTGTATATCTGAAATCTGACAAGAAAGATACATCGGTTACTTTCCCCAACACACTTTAAGATGAATAATTAAATGCATTATTTTTCTAACTAGATGAGTTTTACCTAAATTTGTCTGAGCTCCTTAGCTACAGCTACCATTAAATAATGTGATCTGAATTTACTTTTTTTTTTAAATTGTACACACAGACTGTATTCAGGTTACTCATATGTGCAGCCCTATCATCATGTTTTCTGAGCTTCCTCACAACTGTGATAACCCAAGACAAGCCACAGATTCACAGGAAGCTGAATGCCTCTCATAGACTGACATGCAAATGAAAATTGGGAGAACTACTTTGTTTCCTTACACAGCTTTAGGTGTCACTGAATCCTTCTGTGGGCCGCTCCAGCAACCCAATAGAAAATCATGTAATGATAGCTTTATGCTAGTTGAATGATTTACAGCAGCCGATGGAAGGAACTTATCAATGCTAGTACTAGCACACAGAAAGCGGTGAAAGCCTCATTCTGAGCGCACTGAGCTGTTAGATGAACTCGCTGCACCTTACAGAACTACAAGAACTACAGCTTAAGAAAATCTTATGTAAAGGCATATAAGAACTAGGACCTAGAACTGAAAAGCAGGAGAAAAGAGAAACCATGAATGCCCAGCATCAAGTTACCAAGATAGGCCGATACATCTATTCTCCACATTTTGGTTATATATTCTTTTAATAAAAATGCAATGAAAGATAGCTTAAGTGTAACAGCCTGCCAGCATCTGAATCTGGGATCACAAGTGCAAACTGATGTAGGTGTAGCGTAGGTGAAGTTCAGCTTGAACTTGGTCAAAGACCACAGTACTGCTGAAATGGGTGGGCTTGCGCCCTCCCAGCCACAGCAGCAGCTGCCTTTCAGCTTGCACTGACCCTGCGGACAGCAGGACTGACTGCCTTTTCCTGCAGGGATGCAGGTCTGTCAAACTAATGCTGCACCCTGCAGAGCCCCAAATGCAAAATAAGGCCACTGCGCGCAGAGCAAATCTCCTTGCAGTAATTAAGTTGGTGCTTGGCTTGCTTTTGTGTTACCTAGGCACTGACTCTAGTCTGAGAGACTTGAGGCACTGAAGGTAAATCATCTGGAAGATGACGCTGGCTGCCTCATGCCAGACAGGTCTGTTGTCTACCTGGGAAACGTCAAATCACGGAGCCCGCGAGGCCTAGACATGCTTCAAGGGCTGAGCGCCAGATGCTGAACGCAGCTGATCTAGTTGAAGATGTCCCTGCTCATTGCAGGGGAGTTGGACTAGACGACTTTTAAAGGTCCCTTCCAACCCAAACTGTTCTGTGCCTGTTGATCTGTTCCTGCCTCATTTGCAGAAAGCCTCTCCTTTTTGAGTCCCTATTTGAGCCGATGCTGTTGCTGTTAAAACGCCAAGATTCAGCTTTGTTCCTGGTGGTCACGTGTTGCCTACTAGAAGTTTCCCCACCGTTTTGGTTTTCTAAAACTCAAACAGCAGCTTGTCGTGAGGAGCCGCCCAACAAGCGACCGCAGTGTACCTACGCTAATACAAGCCAAACTACTGACCCCGGCGCGGCAGGTTTTCTTAAAAAGCCCGGGCGCGCAGGCGCGCAGCGTACGCGGCGTGAGGCGCCCCGGCGGCCCCGG